TTTAAATGACATCATTAGCGCTCTTACAGAAATGTCAGCATTATCAGAAGTGTTTAGAAGCCAACAGCCAGCATCGGAAACCCCATCTATCAGTGGGATAGCCGTCTCTTCGGAAATGGCAGTAATGCCAGCCTGCACTCGACAGCACAAGTTATGGCGCTCTCTTTTCAAAATAAAAGAGCATCTCCAGTTTATGTTTAATTCACACATCAAGTTTCTCTCCGGCGGCTATGACAGGCTAAAGCTTTGTGTTAATTAACCCTCTATGGCATGACTTTTTATTTTTTTGGGGAAAAAATATTTTCCTGCATTCTTTCGGAGCTTGTTGGTCCCTAATTACGTGTTTGTACATGTGTATGCCCCATTCCAAGGCAGGTAAAGACTGAAGCAATACCTGCTAAACCCAAATATACGGGTCTGCAGGGTACTTTGTATGATTGGTGCAGATGGTGTTCCTTACAACTTGAAAATCTACACAGGGCGAGCCGTACCACCACCAAATCTACCAGATATGGGAGCTGGTGGAAATGTTGTCCTTTGCTTGGCTCAAATTCTACCAAAAAAATCAGAACTACAAACTCTTATAAAAAAGAACCTGCAGCCCTAAGTCCTGTCACTGATGTGAATCTGGTCGCTACAACCCATAGATAATCAGATAACCAGATGGTGATTCCCAGGTACGCCAATAATCAAGTGCCAAAAATGTGATACACACTTTTTTTCACATCAGCAAGCAATTCCTTCCTGATGTTTAACATATAATGGGGAAAAAGACTGATTTCAACATCCTTAGTGATTCTAACTCTGCCAAACATACACATGTACAAACACACAAATGCTCGTTTTAGTAATTTGTGCAAATGTACCATTCATTAATGAAAGTTAGTTGTTTATTTTATATTTGGTGAGTTGGAACCATGTCTGATTTATTTTTGTCAAAAAAAAGTTTTTTATGAATATAGTTTTTGTTTGATTTGTATTTCATTTCTCATAATCACTGTAGAAAACTTGCCGTTTTAGACCCCTTGGTAGAGCAATGTTGCCCTGAGGCAACAAACCCAAATCCGGTTCCGGGAGATGTCAGGGTCCGATTTTATGATTGATATGTAATTAGGGACCAACAAGCTCCCAAAGAATGCAGGAAAATATTTTTCCCCCAAAAAATAAAAAGTCATGCCATAGAGGATTAATTAACACAAAGCTTTAGCCTGTTATAGCCGCAGGAGAGAAGCTTGATGTGTGAATTAAACATAAACTGGAGATGCGCTTTTATTTTGAAAAGAGAGCGCCATAACTTGTGCTGTCGCGCACATTAAAATGGAGTGCAGGCTGGCATTACTGCCATTTCCGAAGAGGCGGCTAGCTTTATCCCACTGTTAGATGGGGTTTCTGATGCTGGCTGTCCGCTTCTAAACACTTCTGATAATGCTGACATTACTATGGGAGTGTCATTTAAAATATTAGTTGACTCTGTTAGTCGCTGCCGCTCAGCTATTTTTCTGTCCGTGAAAACCCGCCTACTCATGCGTGGGGTCCAATCAGAAACTGAAATTTTAAGTTAACTTCCGTTGCAATCAAACTTTGTCAGAGAGTTTGATAGTACGTGTAAG